AACGAGTACGTGTTACTGTTGGCTGAGGCGACGGAGTGCGAGCGGGCGCTCAGGACTGCTGCGTTGCCGTCGCTACTCGACCAACAGAAGCGACAAGGGGAGGCGACAGCGGCCTCATGGTATAATTTTTAGTACTTATGACTGTAATTTACAAATGATTAACCCATCCGACATCTCTAAAAGTTACCGACGTTACACGGTGTAATATAACATGTTACACTGCAAGTAGTGGTATGGTCACAGGCACTTCATCTAATTTCGTTTATGTTGTTTAATTTAATAAATCGAGATTATTCAAGTTCATCAAAAAGCGTGTCGATCATATAAATCTAGAGTAGTAAACATTAACACATTTTTATGGCAACATTAAAGAAATTTCAAGGAATTAACTAATCACCGACTGCTGTGCGGGCGTTATCTTTTATATCAACACGACTTTATTCTAATTCGTGTTGCCATAAAAATATTACGACAAAAAAATATTTTTAATGTCCCCCGAGAACGGTATATTTACAAAATATTACTACATTTAATTTTAATTACAAGAAAAAAAATATAAACAATCAGTTGTATAGTTTTTTTTAACTGTTATGAGAGTTCTTCGCTAAGGGAGTCTCAATATAGAATACTAAAAATTCACTTAAAACTCAAAAGGAATGCTCATGTAACCATTTTTCTCTAATTCCGGGTTTCTGAAGTGTCCATTTATTTTATCAATACCTAATGATTAATTAGTGTTTGGTTGACGTAAGTTTTAATGGAGTAAAACTCAAGTTACGTAGTTCGGAACCTCATTTTATGAATTTATCGAACAATAAACTCTATCGAATGGTTAAATTTAGCTGGGAAACCTGCTATAAGTGTGGAAGTTAGTTAACAAGTGGAACTTCCGCGAACGTTTTCTATCGAGTACTTTACATGTATAAATATTTACTTTTAATTCTATTCGAAGTAAAGCTATAAAAATAATATTTATTTGTATTTCTTATTTACTTAAACCACATTTGTTAGCAACAACAATGAACATGTGGATATCGTTGTTAATTTTATGATTAATCGCTTTGTTTCAGTTACTATTATTTATTTGTTGACCTATAAATAAAAAAAAATATTTTTATCATATAATTCCGTTATTTGTTTCTCTTGGCTTTGGTAAAGAAAACTTCGACCTTTGTGACGTAAGGAGTTACATTTGTCATGTACTAACTGCCGCCCACGACTCCGTCTGCTCGAAATAAATAAAGTTCAGTTGTTGTTCTAACAGACGGTCTACATCTATGCAAAATTTCATCCAGATTCATAATGCCGTTAAGGAGATATCTTTTTACAAACATTCATCCGTACTTTTAAATTTATAGTATTAACATTACATCTATGTACCGACTGATAAGAGTTATTATTTTATTTAATTAATAATGATTTTCTTTTATAGGAAGGCGATACTGCTAGAGGTGGTGCAAAGATCCGACTTCAGCACGGACAAGTTCCGGGAGATTACGAGCAAAGTGGAGTCCACGATACAAAACCTCAAACCACAAGATGAATACAAAGAATTTATGGAGAAATACAAGTAGGTTCATATTAACTTCAAAATATGTGATAACTAATGTAATCTAGATCGCATAGGGTTCAAGCAAGACCTGACAGGGGTGAGGAGGAACAGTGAATGGCGAGATAAAAGTTTAGGGTTTACTAGTTTAAGAATCAGCAAGAGTTTCATTGAAAAAAGTAAACCCAAGGGAAAAAAGTTTGGAAATATCCAATTTTAATATTCACTGCATGGTATATAAAAAATTCGTTACCTGTTGTCTGTCTATTCCCAAGTATGCTTAGATCTTTAAAGCTAAGCAGCGGATTTTTATATGTATAATGTCGCAGAGGTATAATGTTTCTTACGTGATTTCGTAAACACATTTTTGTACCAGCATTGCCCGTGCAACGCGGAAGCGGATCGCTAGTATATAATAAATATGTATTGATTAATATTTTAGATCACCGCCATCAACACCCATAACGTTTACATTCGACGAGAGCCTAGTAGAAGATACGAGCGGAAAACTGCAACCAAACCAGTTGACAGTGGACAATCTCACTGTAGAATGGCTGAAAGAGAAGCTGACAGAACTGGAGTCATCACTACAAGATAACAGAGAGAAGCAGACAGCGTTACACGGCCCTGAGATCATAGGCAATGGTATCTGCAAGAATAACACTGGCTTACAATCGGGTATCAGCAATGGTGTTAATGGCATCGACAGGTAATATAAATTGTCAAAAATAATTTCAATGCTGTTAATATTTAAAAAGTAAACGCTTATTTAGAACTAGCTTTTGCCCGTGACTCCCTTCGCGTGGAATTAAATAAAAATAAAAGTGAGCAGAAAAGTCTACAGTCTGGAAGAACACCTATGTATTCTTCCAGACTATCCTCTACATCTTTGTCAAATTTCATTGAGATCCGTTCAGCTGGTTAGGCTACAAACTCTAAGAAACATCCATCCATCTATCTAAATTTTGTCATTTATCATATAAGTATGATTTAAAACGAAAAGTTCAATCGGCTTGCCACATCTAAGGTAAAATTCTTTATAGAGCTTTAACATTAGCTACATTTGGATAATTTATATCCATAAGTCATAAACGCATCTTTAGGATGTTTTCTTTTTTACCTGCATTCGAATTCATCAGGAATACTCTTCAGTACAAAGAAAGTCTGAAAATGTATTAATCTACACAGGCATTCGCCGCCACCGATCCCGGTGACGTCATCGGAGCCGACGAAACTTCTAGAACTCCGAGTGGTGGAGCGCAAGTGCGCGCGTCAGGCGGAACTGATACGAACCGCGCTGGCGGAGCTCGGCTGCGAGGAGGCGCCCAGCGGCTGTCCTGACCTGTCTGCCGAGACAGTCGGCGGAGACAGTCTGGATGGCAGCTCGCCTGACCATCAGGTATACTGGAACCTTCTTTATTTAATACTTAAGTCTGACATTCCGTAACAAATAGCGGAATGAGGTCCAAATAGGGATCAGCGATACACTCCACACCTTTGTCATCTTATTAGGATTTTAAAAATAATACTTAAGTCTTGTGTGGACAAATAAATTCATATAGTATTAGCTTCCACCCGCGACTCCGTAACCGTGGTATTAAAAAAATAAAAGTATGTAGCCTATGTGTTCTTCCACACTATGCTCTACAACTATGCCAAATTTCATCCAGATCCGTTCAACCGTTCAGGCTGCAAACTATAAACATCCATCCATCCATCTAAACTTTCGCATTTATAACATTAAGTAAAAATAGTAAGAAGTAAGTTTTGGGATAGTATTTGCACGTAAAAGTAAGAGACGTTTATGTACTATTGTGTAATAATTACGTAGGACTATATATTTAGATACTAAATATGTGTTACATTTGTCTCGGATCTGTCGATTTTTTTGTTTCAATTTAATTTAATGATATTTTCTTATTTTACCATAAACATGTTTTCAATTTGTTCTGGTTTGGAAACTACCAACCAATTACAAATTTCGTCATAGGTTAAGAACTTTTTTATATTATTAATGTCACACCACCTTACACCTTATATGTAAAGTGAAGCACAAAAAGGTATTGAGCATAATATTTTTGTATCATTAGCGTTGCAATTGGCTCCTTACTCAAGGTTCGCCTTTCACCTGTACGTATCAATGTTAAACTGTCCAACTAGTTACACGAATGATGTAAAAATTATCAAATAAATTCCGAAGAATTTATATTTTAGACATATCAAATAAAGTCACAAAATTATCAGGACCGTTCATCGTTGGGGTCTAAAGCGTCAGTGGACGCGTTGCGGTTACATCTACATTCTATAATCCCGCCGAGGCCCTTCTTCAAAATGTTCACGAGGCCCTTTAGACGCAAGTCGGTGCCTTCGAGCCCGGCCCTACCTCCCAAAACGTACCGAAGTAGCAGCGAAGGGCCCG